GCGGACGGCTGCTCACGTTTACGAAACATGCGCAGTGGCAGCGACCGCACCGCAAGGACTTGCGGTGCACCATTCTAAAGCTTCCTTATGTCATGGTACTTTACGCATTGGACGGGCCTTTTCCTGACGAGAACTTCCTGTTTCAGCAAGACTTGTCACCTGTCCCCACTGCAAAGGTTATTGAAGAGCTCCTGAACATGTGAGGGGTGTGGGGCCTGAAGTGGTCCGCAAAGGGGGCAGAGTTCAACATCATTGAGGCCATACGGGGCAGAATGAAGGTCAGGCTTTGTAAAAGAGGGTTGCACAGTTCATCCGCCGATGAGCTATGCAGCACTGTCGAAGAAGAATGGATACGCCTCCAAAATGAACGCACTTTCATTGACAATCTGTACGTGTCACTACCATCCAGATTGGAGGATGTGACTGCAGTGCATGACCCGCTACTAAGGCATTGCGACCGCTTCATCTGCTTTCCTTTCCCTTCAGTAGCGTTCTTGCATCGTAATACTACCAGCGCCGACGCGTCATTGATTCATCAGCAGCCGTTCAGCACTGGGTCCTCAGCCAAGCATCATCGACGAAGTTACTGGCTGGAATAGCAATTCCCACGTACTTGCCTCTTATGTTAAACATCTTAGTGTAACTTCATTTTGGTTTTTTTTGTGCACAATTCTGCTTTTTTACAGTACTTGTGGTATTATTCTGTTTCTAATTTCCTTGACGGCCAGAAATTGACTTTCCTTCGCCATTTCAAGCAACACCTAATGGATATTAGACAAGAATAAAAAAGTAAAAGCAGCACATCTTTTAATTGTTCTCACTTAAATATCAGTTACCTTTTTTTTTATTCTGGCAGTGTTTTGCTCTCTCTTGACCACACAATAATTATGGAAAGCCAAAGGCAGTGGCAGCACAGCTCTGCTAAAAATAAATACTCAAAATACTGAACAGCTCGAGTCGTCGCCGGCTCTCTATTTTCTTGAGAAGCATGACGCAATCTGAAAACACTCCATTCAAGTAAAATAGCACTTTCTTATTCATTCTTGCATGAATTTAGCACTCAATCTTTGATAAGATTCGCACGACACGTCTGGTGGGCTACGGAGTCACTGCATTGTGCTCAAAATTGTTTTCAATAAAGACAGAATGAGCAAGCAAAACGAAGCGCGAAAGGTTCTTCAAACAAAGAAGGTCGAGGGTGAAGGCAAGAATGTGGAGGTGATGTACATTTGCAGGATCTGTCAAACACTCTCCCAATAACTATCAAATATGTCACAATCGGTGCTACTCTACATCCTTGCAGCACGCTCACCCACACACTCGCGTAGTGTAGCTCATACAGAGCGCGATAGTACACTAGTTGGTGCCAAGTATTGCCAAGTGTATCATAAGTGATTCAATGGCGAGCTCACCTGACCTGTCAATTATCCTGGTTCATTTAGTTCAAAATTAGTCAACATATTTGTGAAAAATTACTTTTCCAATCATATAACTGATTACCTACTTTGAAAACAAATGGTTGTTTTGTAATAACATATGGTAATAGCTTACTGAAGCAACTTCAATGATCTTTTGGCCTGCATCACGGAGCTGTTATACGTCAAACAGCACATCATTAATGAAGGATTGAGCCTTTATTAACAATATTGTATTAGCAATATACTTAGTGTAATAAGCTAGCCTGATGAAAAACTAGAAATAGTATGCAGTTGAATAGGAAATCTAATATGGAGGCAAATACCAGAAAGTTTACATCTGAAAAAGACTCCATGCAGGTGGTGTTGGTTCCGAGTTAAGAAAAATGTGTGCTGTGATTGGTTTCTAGTTAAGAAATATGTCCTGTTGGGCAAGTAATAATTGCATCTGAATAAACCATGTACTTTTCTGTTATATGAGTGTAAATGAAAAACAAACGCTTTTTTTGGGGGGGGGGGCGCATGGGATTGTGCATTGTTATATTGCCAATAGTGAACATTGCACAATTCATTAAGAAGAGTATATGCTGAAAAACCATGACTTATGTGATTCTTTCGGCTATGTGAGTTCACGTGGTATGTGCATCCGTCATCTGTGTAATTTCTCGACGTTTAGAGGCAGTTGTGGAGAGGTGCATATTTAGATATTTCTTACAGCAAACATGTTCCCACCATCGTGTATCAGATTGGACATTGCAGGACATTAAAAAATGTGGGTACATTCTCTAGGCACATCATTTCATCAATCGCCGTCTGCCAATTGTTCCCCAGGCACTCGGGGTTTTTTTCTTTCTTCTTCTGCCCGCGTTGCTAAGCTTGGTAAATGTCCTTCGTTTCACAGTATGCCCTGTTTTGATTTCGTAAGGTAAATGTGAAGAAACAAAATTGCACTGAGCGACAACTTGCAGTGGGCAGGGACCAAATTTGCAACCTTCGAATAGCACGTCCTATACTCTACCAACTGAGCTACCACGGCCGCCATCTCCCCGTTTACTTAATGGGGTACATGTAAAATCAATGTTGGAGCATTGCCAGTAGCAAGGACGGTCAGTGTGGAACACTTTTTTTTTGTCTGTTTGGCGTCGCGTAGTCGGTGAGTTTATTATGAGTTGGCAGCTGACCAATAATTTCTGTATACTACCTGTCTGTACGAGACCCTCTCTATGAATGCAGGAAATAAGTACATTTAAGTGCTTGTTTTCTTCGTTAGACACAATATTAACGAGATCTAACAGACTATCATGCCACTTGGCATGATTGTTTATTAGATCTCATTGTGTCTAACAAAAAAAACGAGCTCTCAAATGTGCGTCTTTTGTTTGGCATGATGTACTTCTATCCTTTTTTTTCGATGCGACACTACAGTCCTGATGGTCGATCTATTGATGTTACTACTTGGTTATGGATGCCTCATTCAATGTGAGGGATGCATTGCACGCAGACATGTAAGGTGTTCTATAACATGTTCAAGTCATAGCACCGATTAACATTAAAATATGTCATCTGAAAAGCTGGAAAATGAGTGCTTCCTGCCTTTTGCAAAATGAGGTGTACTTACCACAAGCAGCTTAGAAGTTTGTAATGACGCTATTCCCAAAACATATTTTTTACAATTTCTAGAACATCAAGTTTAATTGCAATGACATCGAGCCGAGTTGTGATGAATGAAAAAGATATTCCACTAATCGTCTCCCTTCTTTTTTTTTCGTCGTATTTGAATAAGATTGCACTCATACGCGAGCAAAATTGAGTCTTAGGGTTTCTTGTGTCATGGCAAACGCACGATCTCAGGATAGATATCACACCAAAAGAGCATGCACACGCTCCCGGATTTACATTCATGAAAATTAAACTTCGCTAAAAATGAGACACGATAACGAAGTGGACAGGACGATCGCAGAGTCACTTCTTTCTGTTGTCTCGTCTTTAGCGCAGTTTAATTTTCCCAAATGTCTTAGCAACTAGCCCCCCATCATACGCTTCCCGAATTTACGCTGTGCACCACTTCGTCCATCGCAACACAATCCGCGCATACACCACGGCGTTCATCGTAAAACGATCCGCGTATACATTGCCAGCAGTCGCGAAAACATTTGGCAGCGAAAAGCCCGAACATTCCGGCGTACGTTATGTCTGCGGCACATGGACGACTCAATCTGTACGGAGTGGTGCTTCGTACACTCCAGGCTTCAAACACATAATCACACGCTAAAAGGGCATGCATACACACTCCCGGATCTATGTTTAACATCACTGCGTCCATCAGAAAACGATCTACACAATCGCGCGTATCACATGTCAGCGAAAAACCCAAATTTCTACGGCGTACGGCTTCAACCAGCTTCGCAAAATCACTCTAAGCCACCATAACCACTCAGCGAGCACTGTCATCTTGCTTGAAAAGAAACAAAACTAAACAAAAAACAAAAAGCTTGTTTATAACACGTGACCACCTAAAGCCAATAGCGTTGCCACTATTTCCCCACACATCTCTTGGGATATGATACGGAAACACGCCTCCCGGGTTGATGGCCAGCAACGAGGGCGCAGCAGTATTAGGCATAGGTGGTGAAATGACAGACAGTGCTATAGGCGCCGGTTTTCACACCCTCTCACATCGTCGCCCGGCAGCGCACCGGGCTCGGCAAGCAGCTGACGGGTAGGCGCTTAGTCGTGCACCCGATACGGGAGACGGATGGATTGGATTTGTGGGGTTTAACGTCCCAAAACCACCATATGATTATGAGAGACGCCGTAGTGGAGGGCTCCGGAAATTTTGACCACCTGTGGTTCTTTAACGTGCACCCAAATCTGAGTACACGGGCCTACAACATTTCCGCCTCCATCGGAAATGCAGCCGCTGCAGCCGGGATTTGAACCCGCGACCTGCGGGTCAGCAGCCGAGTACCTTAGCCACTAGACCACCGCGGCGGGGCGGGGGGAGACGGAAAGAAGCGTCTTCTCTTTCCTCTTTTCTTCTTCCTCTAATAAAAGACATATGGTATAACGAGATGTATATTCTTCCTCCGCCCACCCGCGCCCGCGTAATCTACGCCGCCCGTTTCCCGCAGTAGGCTGCAGGGCAACGTCCACCACACGCCACATTGCGGCCGCGCCGCAGAGGAGCAGGCCATGTTCTTCAGTTCGGTGGCGCCATCTAGTTTTGCTTACTAAAGTAGCTGCGGAAAACGGTCTCTACATCGTTTCCTTTCGCGGGAGACGGTTAACTTTTTTTTAGCGTGAGCAGTCAATCAATCATAGCATAAAATCATATAGAAAGGGGTCCTTTGTTTCTGCGCACGCCACTTGTCTGGTGACGCCGCTATAAGGCATGTCACCAGCGCTCACGTGTTCTGTTGCCTTTCGGTGCACGTGCACGTGATGTGAGCTGGCTTAATAGAATTCCCGCTAAAAAGAAAGGAGAAAGCGGTATATTCACTAAGAATATCTACTTGCCAGTAGTCCGTAAGTAGGCTCTGTCGCAGCTTGTCGGAGGGGCCACAGTCTCTTTCAAGATGGGTAAAAATGACACCCCCAGATTCGCTTCCTGTGTCTGAGCGGCAGCTTTCTAATGGTGTACCATGCATGATACGGGCTAGCGTCTGCGCAGCATCACGTGGCGTGGGCATCCGGCGGTGCGCACCTGATCCTAGCAACGGAGCCCGCGTTGCTTCCGGTGTTGTATGCACTGGCCAAAGCCTTTGTTCTTACGTGTACTCTCGCACGCAGCCACTCATTGTCGTACTGTCCCGTCGCCGATCAACAACACTGAATAGAGACGGCACCAGAGCCCGAATGGCGACGACTTCTGCAGCGAGATCGACTCCGCCACCGGAGTATAGGCCCGACGCTTGCCCTAAGCCAGAGTCTGCACCATCGGAGAAGACGCGCAGTCTGAAACATCTTGGTGTCAAGGCGAAAGAGGCACAGGCCATGCCGACCAATGCAGCGATGGGTAGGACAAAGAGCTTTCATCAAATTTAATTCTCAACCAACATGCTCTATACAGTTCATCTCTTATATACACGAGGAAGCGAATGCTATATACAGAGCTGAATCACTACTATCCTGGTGCTAATAACTGTATTCCCACAGTTGTATCCGTATTTCCAGTATTTTATGTGAGAGACATACAAAATGCATAAGCTTAGTGAAGAGTGATACCTACCTCTGGCTATTTCAGACAGGACGCAGCGCACACCAGTGAGATACTCGCATTTGTTTTACTTTATACATTGCGACGACAGCGTTCTTGCGTGCGTGAGAAAGTCGCTTCTTTTACTTGTACCTAAAATGCTAAGCGTCGTATGCGTAGAAATAAAACGCTGATTGCGCGTAGCCACTACTTCCCCAGTGGCACGAAGCATGTGCCAAATCAGATTGCTTCACGTACAGCGCAGAAGTGTACATATGTGCAGAACTGCGTTCTTGAAATTTTTTTCCCTCCCAAGAAAATATACCCGCTAGTATATATGGCAACAGTCTCTTAGTAAGTTACAAAATCTGCGTAGCCCCGCCACGGTGGTCTAGGGGGTAAGGTACTCGGCTGCTGACCCGCAGGTCGTGGGGTCAAATCCCGGTGATAGCGGCTACATTTCCGATGGTGGCGGAAATCTTGTGGGCCCGTGTGCTCGGATTTGAGTGCACGTTACAGAACCCCAGGTGATCGAAATTTCCGGAGCCCTCCACTACGGCGTCTCTCATAACGTATGGTAGTTTTGGGATGTTAAACCCCACAAATCAATCAATCAATACAAGATATGCGTAAGAACGCTACTGTTCACAGTTCAGACAAGTTGTGCTCATTCTGAAAGTTTCGCTGGCCGAACAGGCCCGATCAGTGAGGTATGTATGTGAAAAAGTGACCTCCTAAAACGTATTTTCAAGCAATCTGCGCTTACATATTCTCCAGAAAAGGAAAGCAAGTCTTTTTAGGGTGCAAAGCTTGTGTTAGCGTGTTTATGCTCAGTAGACTTTGTTGTCTCATCGATAGACCGACTTCATCATGAGTTCACTACGCCGCCTGAGAACTGAGGGCTAACCCGAAATTAGTGTAGCAGGGTTTGAAGAATGGCTTGAAACACGATGAAGTGCGGTCTCGTCGTCAAGGGCTTTTCTCCTTACACTTGTTTCACATAACCGTTTAGCACTGGCCGCGACGTGCGGGAGTGCGCCACAGGTGATTGACATTTTATATCTACCCAGGAATGGCGAGAACTGACATTGCTATGTTGAATGTAAGAGGGTTAAAAATGGCGTCGCAGCATTGACCCGATGAAGTCGTAGAATAAAAAATGAGCATCCCAGCTGGATTTGAAGACAAGCGTTCTACGCAGCAGTCTGATATTCTACCACAGAACCACACCAGGGCTCGAAACTGCTTTGTTGAAACACCCTTAGCGGACGTAATGTCGGTGCAACGTGACTTGTGTTTCCGGGGTCGGCTCCGCATTCATTGCACTTCAATAAGCACTGCACTTGCATTCTTAAGATTTAGGAGGTTATATTCAAGACAGAATCAGCAAGATATATTCAGAACAGAATATTCAAGATATAAAGAAGCACTTTCAATTAGCACTGTAGTCGACTTTTCTTGTAAGCCCATGATGTCTGCAAAACTGCTATCCTTACAAAGACACATCGACCCACTTTGTAACGCTTAGGTGAAAGCCAAAGTAAGCAGCGTGCTATTACTCACCGAATGCTTCGCATGAAAGCAATTTCCGTATACAACGAAATTATTCTTCAAGATAAATATTTCATGACATCAAGGCCAGCGGTCGAGCAGTTATAATTATCAACGCTTCTTTATTTTTAATGATCGGCGACTGCATCTTCATCGACGTTCGTCTTATCGTCGCCTCAAGTGCAAGAATAGTAGGAAAGAATAGAGAAAGAAGGCCGAGAACGCTATAGATTCACCAAAGGAAAAGCCATGCAAGAGCTCACTGTAGCTTGTATTTTCTTATTCTTTGTTTTCTCATTGCCTATAATCAATATTATTATTATTATTATTATTATTATTATTATTATTATTATTGATAATAATAAATTGTGCATGTGGGCGTACTCCATCGCAGTCTTGCGGAACCGTGTGGTGCCACGGGCTGCCCTGGCGCCACTGGAAGCTGCTCCTGTCGCCGATTCCACCGGAGTTGTCCAGGCCGAGCAAGAAGATTACGGCTGGATGGGCCCGAAAAAGTTTCGTGTGTGCCCTGTCTGCAGCCGCCGCTACTCCTCCATGGAGTGGCTGCGTCGACACGTCCTCATGCACGAGCGCGGGAAACCGCTCAAGTGCACTCAGTGTGACCACTGGTACATGGTGCTACGGGCACTCGCCTTGCACATGTCGAGAGTTCACCAAGCATGAAAGCCCCTGAAGTCTCGCTTCAGCCTCAATAAACAATAACTCATACGACGAACCGTGCTACGCATCATGCCAAGCTTTCTTCGGGGCTGCTTATACGCGACTCTAGTATGGGCTCTCGTGTACTTGCCAATTCGTTTTAAGGGGCAGAAATTAACGGCCGAATGAAAGGACACCTGCACCTCATGAGAGTGTCTGTATTCTTGCGCTGTCGATAGTTGCGTGGCGTCTTTTCTATTTTATTCGTGCACTAATCTTCAGAGACAATTACGCACAGACGAACATTGATTAACTTTTCAACAAATCGCTAAACGACCCACAGGTGCTCTGAAAACTGTTGGCGAAGTTTGTGCATCGTGCGAGCAGGTTGTTTGGTCAGGACCACTCGTGTGGGCCATCGGAGCACGAGAAACACAGGTCGCCGCTTCTTGACTGGTCTGACCTCGAAAGTACGCATAACCTAATGAAGGAAAGCAGTGTAAAGTTAAGGGCTCGTTTTCCTTTCGTAAACACAAAATAAATGGTAACTGACAGGAAATAAGGTCAATGAAAGTATATGGCATGATATTAGTAGTACCTCTAATGTAAAAGTGAAGAAATAAAGAATAATGCATCCGATGCTCTGCGTCCGACTGAGCTACACAGTGGCAGTCATCCCTCCATCCTCTGCATTTTCGTTCATTTAACTGTGAGTGTTCAGTCAGCGCCACCATTGCGGCTAGTGTTCAATACTTCCTTTTTTGCCAGTGTTGGCGCCACGTACCACGTAATTTTATTACGAGTGGTTAGACCCACGATAATGCGGTTAGACACACGTCTGGCTTGGGTTTACCACAGTGTTTATTTCAAATGCTGGACGTTGTGCCTCGCATGCTCACGGTCATTGAGAAGTGTAAAGAGCGGTTACTATGCGTTTCACTAACGTTAATCACAGTGGCTGTTTTAGAACAACAGGTGGGGACAGGCGACGCAGCCGACTCCAAACTCCCGCCGAAAGCGTCCGGGAGCCCCCGGCGGCGAGCTTACAAAGTTGAGCGGATAGACTCCCCCATAATGCACTGCGCCATGCAGCCTCACGAGGCTCTCGGAAGTTTCTGATGGAGGGGGACATGTAGGCCCGTGTGCTCAGATTTGTGTGCACGTTAAAAAACCCCAGGTGGTCAAAATTTCTGGAGTCCTTTACTACGGCGTCTCTCCTATTCATATGGTGGTTTTGGGACGTTGAACCCCACATATCAATCAATCCAGGCACTCGAAAGCAGCGCGCTCATTGGTTCGTGTGTAATTTCGTCACCACACGTGGCCGCGCCCACAACGATGCTGCAGTGTGTTGTGTGTCGGGCGCGAGCACAGCTGATGCGGACGCTGTGGCGAAGGCGAGAACAAAGTTGGCGCTCGCACGCGTACTGGCAAACCGCCTACAATGAATGGGAAGACAGCGCTATCAAGTAGTTGGTGCTACCAAGGTGCTACAGAAACGCTGTGCGCACGCCTGTTATCGACGCTGCCGAAAGACTCGTCGCTCCGTTTGCAACGATCGCCGAAAGCATCGAAGTTGGTGCAGATATGCAGTGAAGAATGGAAGATGACGGTGTAAAGTGTTCGTGTGCGGACTAAATAATAATAATCGTAACTCGCCAAGCCTTTGCTGCAGCTCAAAGAGCCGGTGTCGGAGCACTTGTATGCCTACGTCGCGCACGTCACTCGATCGGCCACAGATATAGGCTCAGCTTGCGCTCATTCTGGCTACTCGTAGTGAACGCCACCACTACTGATTATGATAGCGATGGGAAAGGGGAAGCAAGAATATCTGTAGCAACTACTCGAAAGACCTGAAACTAATATTTTGGTACTGTCACTCTATAAACATGCGAAGCGATTTCGTTTACATAAGGAGCGAGAGGCCACCACTCTATTATTAGAAGAAAAGGACGCGGGTGACAGCGTACTCCCTCTGGGCCAAACACGCTTTGAAAACCCGCCTTTTTTTTTTTTTTTTTGCTCACTTCGATGCATGCTTGTAGAGAAAGTAAGGCGTTGACAGCACAAGCAATGTCATACTACAAGATCCGCACAAGCAAAGATTTGCGACTAGTGAGTTTCAGAAGCGAATTCAAAACGAATCCAATTGTGGTATAACCAAATAGAAGGCTAAAACGAACCTAATACTCTTTTGACAGATTTCAAATAATAAAGAAACGTTTTTTTAATTAATCCTAGGATTTCACAACAGTTTATTTGAAATAGGTATTCACAAACTGTCATCAAATAATACTGAATTTATGAAAACTTTGCTAAGCTTGTATACAGCAGCTACTAGAGCCTTCGAAATACTTTTCAACTGTATGTCCAAATGCTGCAGCAACAACATTATTGAAGTTGAAACTCTGTTGCCAATTTTTAGGTAACATTGCGGCATAAGACATAATAAATTTTGAACTGAACACCATGCATTCAGCTAATAATTTCTTGGAACAGGCAAAATTGTCAGAACCCTTACGCTGGCACAGAGAGCATGTAAAAATCAAATGTTGAAGCTGCACCTGTGAGAACAATTTAGGTGAACAAAAGACTTGCATGTGTTTTAATTCGTGAAGCCGAATACAGCCATATTCTCTAACTTCAAGTATGAAGACAGGAAATTATTAATGCGACGCAGCTCCACCATAGTAAAATAGAGTGAAAGTGCAGTTTGCAGCAAAACTTCTTTGTATGGTAATGATTATAGCACGGCCGCTCGATGAAACTGAGCACGGGTACGGCCCACCGCGTGCATCAAAACCGGCGTGACAGGCCTAGTTCCCGAGCCGCCGCTGCGGCGCCACCAGGGAAGGGGGGGGGGGGCAGTTTTCGTGAGCGCCCTTAGAATCGCATGCCTGGCGCGCTTGCGGTAGTTACGATTGAGCGCGCGCATCTTTGTGTCACCCGCGAAATCTTTTTCTAATATCCGTCTGGCGTGTTCCCGCCAGGTAATTACCGACCTTGCTTTTAGATACCCGCAGCCCTTGCAAATTTTCGGTATCTCCTTACTCGAGATGGAACCTTGCACACCGATCAGTTTTCGCGGAAGTAAGAATTGTGAGCACATTTTACTCGGATCCTATAAGATCACAACTAACAGATCCGGAAGAGCTACACATTTCCGATGCATTTAAATTTATTATAGTAACTGTAAGTATGTGGCGTCATAAAACCTTCCTTATTTAATCATTTCATTTAGAATCAGTAACCTCAGCAATTTCTGTGGCCACTGTTCCTTAAACACAAAATAGGATAGACTTTTTACTTCCTCCAAACACGTCTATAGTATTGATACAACACAGTATCAGACGCAACAGCCACGAAATATACTTAGCATGTGTGCAATTTCATAACAGTGGACTCGAGGTTCTTTGAAATTTTAGTGACTGTAACTTCGATGTTGGCAATTGAGTGAGCAGTTATGAAGTGAATAATATGAAAACTGTTACACGAAAAGAGTGACGAAATGCTAGAAAACGCGAAGACAACTGCTTGCGTTCCTGCACTTTTGAATGTTTTTGTCAATTTCGCTCCCGACGTTCTTACGATAATGCAATTATTAATACATTCAACACATAACCGGAACAAGAAGCATGAAAATATTTTATTGATTCTCAATTTAGGGCTGATCCTGGCATTTTTGTGTTTTGTTTACTTCTTTACACCTCTGCATAATAAAACAACTTGACGATTGCTCCAGCTTGTGCGCCTAAGTTTTGGCTTCTGTGTCTATCGAGAATGAAACCATCCGTTCGGTCTTTTCATGTTCGCCTCTCCACGGGCACTGGCGAATCCCGGTAGCACTCCAACGCATTTGTCTTCTAGCAGTCTCCGTCATGTGTTTCTGTCATTATGTACTGTTTATTTGTTCCACTTTGCATCGTCGACAAATTGGCACCTGTGCACACACACACACACACACACACACACATATATATATATATATATATATATATATATATATATATATATATATATATATATATATATATATATATATATATATATATATATATATATATATATATATATATATATATATATATATATATATATATATATATATATATATATATATATATATATATATATATATTGAATTAACTTGAAGATAGCACATAAGAAAAGGATCGTATTTACTAACGTTTCGGCCGTGGCACGGCCTTCGTCAGAGTAAGTAGGTATGATACAATGCAGCCGCTTTTATAGGCTCACGTGATGAACTCTCGGTATAGCAGCTAGGACAATCAAAGTAAAAAATGGTAATCTGTCAGAACCTTGTGTTGACATGACTGACATGTGACGGGTGCACGGATATAAAAGTTTCAAATTTCCTTGCGCATCGACACGTGGGGCACAGTATGGTTGGCAGGACATGTAAAGAGCTCAGAAGTAAAGAAACCACGGTTGACTAATATACAATTTAATATACACTAAAATATTTTAGTAATCTAAGAAGTCGTGTTGTTATAGTGCGAGGCAGGTGAGCTTTTCTACGTTTTCATTGATACCTGAACGAATGGTGTTAAATTTGTGGATCAAGAAGGATTCCCTCACTTCCCTATCGTGATTTGTCTTAAAATCGGACTGAATAATCGTGGCCCTAATTTTGTCGAAACCATGGCCAGGCATACTGACGTGCTTCGACAGCGGTAGATTAGGGAGGCTTACGGCATGTGCACGGTGATTATTAAAACGAATTCTGAAACTTGTCTCTGTTTGACCTATGTACTGAGCACCGCAAGTTGAACACTCGAGAAGATAGATGACGTTGATACTATCACACGTGTAGTTCCCATTTATCTTTAAAGAAAAACTGGACGATGTACTTGAAACTGTTTTAGATGTCGTCATGTGCGCGCACACTTTGCAACGTGGTTTGTTGCAGGGATGACAGCCTTCATGATGTGAACACGTGGTTTTAGATGAGGTTAGTAAATCACGAAGGTTCCGCGATCGTCGGTAGACCACGCGTGGTTGTT